TGTTTTGGGATGAACTTGATGAAAATTTACTCTAGACGGACAACGACCGGCCAGATTTGATGAAAGGGTTGAAGTGCTTCGTATCAGATCAAACTTTTACTGAAATATCTTATTAACGATTGGAGATACTCTTATATATAGATCAATAAAGGGTTGTTTCTACAATGATTAAAAAAGTACTCTTTTTGTTTCGTTTTTTGTTTTTTGTTTAATTATTTGACTTATTAGTCTTTTGATTAGATATTCTTTGTTCTATTAGTTTGTTTTATGTTCAAACTGAGACAGATATATCCAAAAATACATTTTTGTATGTGGATTGTTCTAAAACTTGGGAAATTTTAATATTCTTTTTCGATTTTTGTTAATTACAACTAGTAATTGATTTTTTTAAAAAGAATAGCTTTGAGAGCATGTTAGGTTGTGTTTTGATTGAAAATAAGGGAATGTGCGAAGGAAATAGAAAGTGAAATAAAAAAAATTATTTTTATTTCATTCATTCTTTCGTTCTTTTGCTTTTGTTTTTTAATTTTTTTTTTTTTTTTGTTTAAATTCTTAATCCAAACCTAACCTTATAAAACCTTCTAAAATGAGAACTTTTTTGGCCTATAAGTAATGGTTGTAAAGCTTAAAATTTGTAAGAATCTTATACATTGATCAGCTCATGAAGGTTTTGTTGAGTTAGAACCCAACGGCTATACAAAAGTGAATCTTTATTTAGGTACAAAAATACACTCAAGTATACAAGAAGACTCTCAAAGACACCTCACTTTTGGAATCACTCACATTCAAGCACTTGACTCTACTCTTGATTGTTGTGCCTTGTCCCTTCCAAATGAGGTCACTTCCCTTTATATAGTCATCTACATCCTCAATGGATGGCTAGGATCATTTTGATCCAAGGGCTATTATTAACCCTCTAGAATATTCTAGCATATACTTATATATACTTTCCAATATTCTAGAACTCTCTAAGCTATTCTAATATATAATAGTACTTTCTATACTTCTAAAATATTCTAGAACCTTCCAGAACCTTCTAGATTTCTCAAGATTTCTACAAGCTTCTCTAACGTTCCGAAATCTTCTACAATGTTCTAGAATCTTCTAGATTTCTTTAGATCTTTCCGGAGTCTTCTAGATTATTCAACATATGCACTTAATAGCCTAGATAATTCTAGAAAAGTCAATGATGACTCTTAATGCTTCCCCTTAGCATTGACTCCTTTATTTAGTTCTTCTTTTGTAGTTAAGCCGAGTTACTTCCGAAACTCTACAAACTTTGAAGCTCCAGGTCCTTTAGTAAACAAGTCTGTTACTTGGTCATCTGGTCTGATTGATTTCATCTCTATCTCTCCTTGGAGCACCTTCTCTCGAATGAAATGGTAATGTACCTCCACGTGCTTTGTTCTTGCATGACATAGGCTTCACGTCCTTTAACTTAGGAACTAGCTCCCATGTTTGATTCTGTCTAAGGGCTTGAATCTCTTCCTCCATTGCCTTCTGCCATGCTTTGCTTTGGTTTGTCTTTCCAAACGTCGTTGGCTCTGTAATGCTATCTTCTTCAGTTAGAGCAGCATTTGCATACTTTGGATTAGGCTTAAGTTGTCTTTCTGACCTTCTGAGTTTTGGTCCAATCTCTTCAATCGCTTCTTGTTGGCTTAGGCGAACTTCTTATGGACTCTTGTGATGGACACTTTTTTTCCACAAACTTGAAGATCTTTTTGGTGTCTTTGATAGGTCAGGCTCTAGCTCATCATCACTTTGTGTTGATCCTGGCTCCTTGATGATTTCTAAACAAGGGGTTATCTCTTCCTCTTGTCTTTGCTCCCCCAGCTTTTCTTGTAACTGATTTTCTAAATTTCTGGAGTCTGGCAATGGTATATCTTGTGAAGACCACCAAGATGATGTTTCATCAAATACAACATTCCTCGAAGCATAGCAGCGGCCAGTCATGGGATTACAACATTGCCACCCTTTCTTTTGACTGTCGTAACCCACGAAGTTGCAACAAATTGTCTTCTTATCGAACTTGCTACGTAGATAATTTGGCACAAATACATAGAAGACACATCCAAATACTCAAAAGTGACTTACTGTGGGCTTTGTGTGCCATAACTTCTGGAAATGTGAGACCAGCCCCAAACCTGTTTACGGTAGCCTGTTGATCACATGAGCTGTTGTCTTCATACATTCAACCCAAATTTTGCTAGACACATTCTTAGCATGTAGCATACTCCGACAAGTTTCTGCAAGATGCTTATTCTTTCTTTCAGCCACTCCATTCTGTTATGAAGTACTTGAGTAGGTAAACTGATGTCAAATTTGGAATTCTCTAAGATAGTTAAAGAACTCATCTGAGGAATATTCTTCTCCATTATCTGTTCACAAGCATCGAATTTTTTTTCCAAGCTCGCTTTCAACCTTCTTACGAAATTCTTTGAACTTGGCCAAAACTTCAGACTTTTCTTTCATAAAATACATCCACACGTACTTTGAGAAGTTTTTAATAAAGGTCACCATGTAGCGCATTCCGTTGATTGATGCTTGCTTTATCGGTCCGAAGGCATCTGAGTAGATAAACTCTAAAGGTTCCTTAGCTCTATACTTTGAATCTTCGTATGGTAACTGATGTGCCTTACTATACTGACATCCGGCACAAATTGTATCTTCTTGAATATCTAGTTGAGGAAGGCCCTAGAGCATAGACTTCTTCATCATTATTTAGCTCATGTGACCCAAGCGCGCATGCCAAAGGTCTGCAGTCTCATTCTTTTGAGTCTTATCTACATAGGTTGATTCTGCTGACATTACGTAGATAGACTCCAACCATCTTCCCTCCATGATGGGAGTACCAGATAACTTAACCTTCTGGTAAACCTTCACATTCTCTGGGCCGAATAACACATAGTTTCCTGAGGATGTGAGTTGTGAGATTGATAACAAATTCTTCTTCATCCCTGGTACATGATAGACGTCCTGCATATGTATTTTGTTAGAGTTGAAGTGAGGAGTGATGATTGTCTTACCAACATGGGTGATCGGCAACCTTGTATTATCAGCGGTCATTACTACTTGGCCTCCTTTGTACTCAGACATGCTGGACAACTTCTCCTCGTCACCAGTCATGTGGATAGAGCATCCTGAATCAACGATCCAATCATTGTTGTAATTGATTGCTTTAGTTTTAGACTTTGCCACAAGAGCCGACTCATTAGGCTCAGACACAACCGCACATACAGCCACTTCACTAGCGGTTGGACTATGTTGCTCTTGCACTTCCCATGCATCAAAGTCTACTTCTTCAGAGCAATAAGTCTCATTAGGATCGAACACTGCAAAGGATGCTTGGAAGTCCTATTTTTCCTCACTGTTGTCCTGGTGACTTTTGGATGTCACCAAGTTATCTTTTTCTTGCCTTCTCTTTGAACAAAAATATTTTGCGTAGTGACCTCTTTTTCCACATTTGTAGCACTTTATGTTACACCGTCAGGGTGCTGAGAATCGTCGATCATGTTTGTTGCTGCCAAATTGAGCTCCCCCCGTTTGAGAGCTCACATCTTGCTGTTGTGATTTGGCATGTTCTTCATTTTTCTTTGGTCTTATAGAGTTATGCCGTCTTGCTCCACCACGTCTTGCTCCACCCCTTCTATTATTACTACTGAAGAGTGCCTTCTCTTCAGTCTTTAATGAGACCCCAACCATTTGCTTGCATAGGCTTTCTTGATTGGCCAATAAATTCTCTAACTTTATAAGAGATGGTTGAATTGGCCAACCCCTTATAGCTATGATGAATACATTATACTCAGGCCTTAACCCGTGTATAATGATCATCCTCATTCTTTCCTCATTAATATTTGCTTTAGGATCTAGATCTAAAATTTCATGACATAGCTCCTTAATTTTTGTGAAATATTCGCTTATGGACTTACTTCCTTGAGTGGTAGACATCAACTCATTTTCTAGATATTGGAGCCGAGCGTCATTTGTTTTTGAAAACAATGATGCAAAGGTGTCCCATGCTGCCTTGGATGTGTCATCATTCCTGACGTGCTCGAGCAACTCATCCTCTATGGTTGTCTTGAGCACATACATTGCCTTTTCGGCCTTGATCTTCCATTTGCGGAGTGCCTCGGCATTTTCCGTGGAAGGTGGTGCAGTCTCATTTCCATTAACAACCTCCCACAAATCCTATCCTTTAAGGTAGGACTTGATGCGACTCTGCTAACTCTGGTAGTTGTTGTCGTTGAGTCTTGTGACTCCACTCATTTTGTTCGCAAGATCTACCATCGTGACTTGGTGTGATCCTCCTGCACTTTCACCAAGTAAGTGTGGTCTCTAATCCACAAGCTTCACAGTCTTAAGTTGTGCACAATCAACTCAAGAAAATGGTCCTTGACCGCCTTGCTCTGATACCAAATTGTTGAGTTAGAACACAACGGCTATACAAAAAAGAATCTTTATTTAGATGTAAAGATACACTCAAGTATATAAGAAGACTCTCAATGACACCTCACTTTTGGAATCACTCACACTCAAGCACTGGACTCCACTCTTGATTGTTGTGTCTTGTCCCTTTCAAATGAGATCACTTCCCTTTATATAGTCATCCATCTCCTCAATGGATGGCCAGGATCATTTTGATCCAAAGGCTATTATTAACCCTCTAGAATATTCTAGCATATACTCATACTTTCTAATATTCTAGAATTCTCTAAACTATTCTAGTATATAATAGTACTTTCTATACTTCTAAAATATTCTAAAACTTTCCGGAACCTTCTAGATTTCTTAAAATGTCTACAAGCTTCTCTAACGTTTCGGAATCTTCTACAATATTCTAGAATCTTTCGGATTTCTTTAGATCTTTTTAGAGTCTTCTAAATCTTTCCGGAGTCTTCTAGATTATTTACCATATGCACTTGATAGCCTAGATGATTCTAGAAAAGTCAACGATGACTCTTAACATGTTTGATCAGTGTGAGGTTTTCAATCATGATTATATAGGTGTACCCAAATGGCTAAAAATGTCAAGGGACGTTTGGTTGAAACCTGAAAGCTTAAACTCACTTGAATAGTTTCTAGTTTTTCTTTCAGTTTGTTACTTTTCTTTTATGGATTTCTCTTTTTTCCACTATTTATGGTTGCTGAAGTATAGATTAACGATCTTGGATTGTTGAGACTTGCTTTTTCATTGAATTCTCCCCATGTCGGTTATGTTTTTTGTAAAAAATGTTTTCCCGTGTTTGGTTGCGACTTAAAACTGATGTGTTAATGGTTGGGCTGCGGTGGTGAGGTGGAAAATGGTTTTTGCCCAAGAAAGATTATATTTGTTGATTTTCGTTTTCTGTCATATCAAAACCCAAAAAATACGAAAAATATTTTTCAAAAACACATTGTGCTGAAATAAACAGAGTTCTAATGTTTGCCATTTTGCCCTTTCTTTTACTTTCTTGGTACCCAAATAGCTAAAAATGATTTGGTTGAAAGCTGAAACCCCCCACTTGAAAATTTTCTACTTTCTCTTTTAGTTTGTTAGGTTTCTTTCATAGATTTCCTTTTCTTCCTTATCCTGTTTATGTCTTCTTATCTTTGCTGAAATATATATTTCAACAATCATCGAAGCTCTAGACTTGCCTTTCAATGAATTCTCCCCATGCTTTAATGTTTGCCATTTTGCTCTTTCTTTAACTTTCTTGGTGGTACTTTTCTTCGCTGTGTTCTTTGTGGTACTTGAGTACTCCTTTATCTTCTTCTTTTCTTCCTCTAACTTAGCATTAGAATGCTAATAGGTGGCATTTTATTGGCTAATGATGAGTTTGGTTAGTGCCTTTCTAGTGGAATTTTGGGTTGGGCTCTCACTTCAAATATCACTTTGGTCATGTTGTCACCACAAAAACACGAAAAAACAAAACAAATTCTTTGGCCGTCACCAAATTTTCAATTTTTTCCCCCTTTCCATAACCCACCTTTTAGAAACACCAATTTTTTTTTTTTTTTTTTTTTTTGTGAATTTTCAAAAACTATTTTTTGCAGAAAATGATGTGAAAACAGTAGAAGGTGTTTATAAAATTTTCATTGCTTTTGCTTCTAAAAATAAGAAAAAGGAAAACAGAACCAAACATGCCCAAAGATTTGCGCTCTGCAGGGTTGAGCTCTTAGCTCATCTACCGGTATTGCACATCGTAGGGTGATCCAAGAGAGAGGACTGGGATCTAACCAATTTAGTTACAACTCGTACGGCAATTGTATTATTCTATTCTGTAATTTTGTAGAATATTGGCTTTTCATTCTGTATCATATGCATCTGCTTTGTTTGAATTACAAAAATAGTTTGTTTATTATTCAGTTAGTATCTGCATTTTTGTTCTTGTTTTTATGCATTATTCACTAGTACTCTGTCAGTTGTATTCAAATATCAAAAAAGACGAGGACTTAACTAATATGTGCCATACATAAATATTGATTAGCTATACTTAATTGTCTTTGAATATTTATATGTAGGAAAAGAAAACGAAAAAGAAAATTGTCATTAGTTTTTGTTTTAAGTTTGATCTTTCTTGGTTGTCTGTTCTGATAGGTGCACCGAGAGGTGTTTATCTGCTCAAAATCTAAAAGCATAGTATTTTTGCTAGCAAAGATTTCCGGGAGCATATAAAATTTGAAGACTATGTTGCTGTTGTTGAGCCTTTTCTGAATCATGAAACTCGGTAATACTCTTCATCGTTGATCCATTAACTTTGAATTTTCCTCTGTTCGGTATCTTTTATTTATTGAAAGAACACAGATAAAGAACAAATCCACACACACACACATATGTATCTGTTCCGTAACTAAATAAGGAAACTGTGAAAAAACTTTTTAAAAAAAATTAGAAAAAAAAAATCCTAAAATTAAATCTCCTAAAATAACTTATTAGAATCCTCCCACAGTATTGATGCATCTACAAGTTGCAATTTTAAGTAACCCATTACTTTCTTTCATGTGAGCAATGAAAAAGCACTGCAAACTTGCCCACTAGATTGTTCTATTCCTACAATGGGTTGTGACAAGCCTCTAACGTTGTGTTTGGATTATGGATTTGAATAGAGATTTGAAAAGGTAAAGGAAAAATGTGGTTGAACACCATTTTGTATTGTGCACCCTTTTCACCTTTGAATCCATTTCTCTATTTCTTTTTGTTCATATGCTTTTGTATGTAGGTTGCTTCACAAGATGATCTTAATGTCCATTCATTTATATATAGATTGTCTTATACTCTAGATTTGATTAATTTGCGTACCTCCTAGGTAATGATTATAATGATTATGAGCTTTTCAAATCTAATGACAATCCAGAGGAGATGGAAATTTTGAAGTTGGACAAAGCGGCTCATTTAGAGGATGAGTATATAGGTACTTGGCATCTAGGAAAACAGGAGTATCAAGTTAATTCAGATTCCTTTCTGCATAGCAAAGGAAATAGATGTGCAGTCAGGAACATAGTAAAATTTCACGGTTTTATGACTGAGGATGATTCGATTAACAGAAACGAGTGTACAACACTTTATGCCAAAACTCCGCTTGAACTGCAACAGAGGGAGGATAGAACTGGCCATTATACTGATGCGAGCATTATGGATTGCGAAATGCCAGAACGGGTTATTTTTCCACAAGAGGGCAATTATCAGGTTGTCAAAGACATTTGCGTCGACAGGGAAATCAAGTGTTCGATGGAAAATTGCGAGTTGGACCATAATGTCATCTCTTGTTTACTGAACTCTGATGCAGACACAGACATTGAATTGACAAAAGAAGCACCGAACACCGCCACAGCGTCATCCATTTCTAATGCATCTGAATCTTTCCCGGACCACGACTGCATTAAGGATGCTGTCGAGCAGTGTGGTTCGATGAAATTTTCAATGGAACTTAATGGAGGTTTTGATGCAAGGACTGGACAAAGAGGTGAACAAAAAGATCACAAGGTAATTCCTCTACTGCAATAGACATTGTTCATTTATTTATTTGGTTAAAAAACATGAGTTATATCACGAAACCTCGATAACGCTATGTTTGAATTTTGAACCTATTGTGTTGGTTTGTGATGCATCAATCTTTGTTATGCCTTTTCACTGCATTTGCTTTCTTGTTCTACAAGGCTAAGTTTGGATTTTGAATTTTTTTGGATTTGAGTAGAGATTTGTGAAAGAAAAATGTATCGGGAAGAAAATACGAATGAAATATAAGATAAATTTTTTTTTTTTTTTTAACTTTTCCCTTCCCTTTTTCTTTTTATCCAAATCCAAGATCCAAACTGATACCTTTAATTAGGATCAGTGAGACACGAAATCAAAGAGAAACAAATAAACATGAATTATAAGTCACACGCACACACAAAAACACCACGGCTGTTGCGGATTTACTATGATCATAATCAGTTACAAGCAAAATACAAAGATAACCGCTCTCCTCAACTACATATACATATAATTAAGGTTATAGGTTACAAAAGTGTAAACACCAAAACACCCTTACTCCAACAAATGCTACACTACATCCAAGGATGGATCTAAGGAGTTGTGAAGGGAGGCGACTGCACCTCCAAATTTTTAAAAATGTCATATTATATTAAATAATTTGAAATAATTTAAAATTACAAGAGTTTGCACCTCTAAATATACTTTTGCACCCTTATAGTGAAAATCCTAGATCCGTCTCTGGCTACATCTATCACTCCTAACTTGGAGCCAATGTCCGAAATTCTTGGCTTTATTTCATTCAAGTATGTAGAGCGCTTTAACATTCTCATATTAGAATTAGAATGTTTTGTTTTTGTTTTTGTTTTCTCAAAAGTTTCAGTTTCCAAATATGGCCACTGAAGTTGCTTCCAAGACTGAGATAGAGACTAAAAGCATCACTCATGATTGTGATTCATTAGTAACCAGAATCAATGGCAGACAGAAAAACCCGGGAATTGCAGATTATCAACCACCTCTTGAAACTGTAAACTTGTCCGAGGTTGAAAATGGGATATCAGAAAAATTGATGACATCAAGTCGAGCCTATGACCATGGAGAGTCCAGTTTCTCTGCAGTAGGTCCTCTTTCAGGGTCGATAGCGTTTTCTGGGCCAATGTCATATTCCGGTAGCATCTCTCTCCGGTCAAATAGCAGCAATAGTGTGCGGTCTTTCGCATTTCCAGTGTAAATTGATGCCTCATCCCAAATTTGTTTATCTAAAACTGGTTTGTGATAGTACTGACTTAGCTCGTAACCAAACAGATTGTCCTCGGAATGGAATGGCAGCCCTGTGAGAATGATGGAAGCTGACAGGAGACACTTGAAGAAGCACAGACGTTGGAGGACAGGTTTTCTCTGCTGCAAATCCTGAGAACTATATATATAATCCTCTTTTCTTTTCTTTTTTTTCTTTTTTACTCAGTTGTTATTTTTTGTATATATCCAATGATTAATAAGAACGTCAGTGAATTTCCATATCATAGATGCAACAAATTTCTCTTAGTTACGTAGTTGGTTTCTCTTGGTGTTTTGGCCTCTAAGAGGAACATCAATTTCTTGGGCACTAGGCCACGCACACTAATTATTATATCAATTAATGTATCAATACATGTTATAATATTATAATTTTAAACCTATGAATCTCACTCATTATACAAACTATAAAAACTTAAAGCCAATAAAATTATGTCACATCATCCATGAATACACTAATTGGTATACCAATTAATGCGTGTAGCTTTATTCTTATTGTAAAAAATTGTGTAATTAAATAAATAAATAGATTCATGCTTAAAAAATTAAAATTCCAGAACCAGAAAACATGCTAGAAATTATAATTGGATGAACAAAAAAACAAAACAGAATGAAACAAGAAACGAAATCAAATCGAAGCCTACACTAGACAGTTTCCTTAAAACAGATTCGTCGCCTCACTTATTGGGGTGCTGGAGGTTGTTCGACATCTGTCTCCTAAGATACGACGGTTGGACCAGCTATAGAAGGGCACCTACTGAGTAGCTTCGGCAAACGAAACTTAGGAAGAACACAAAGATTGCAAAATTTCTGAGAGATGAAGAAGCTCCCCTGTAACACATGCAGAATTAACTCTACAAAACTTATGGATTTAATCCATCATGAATAGAGTAGTTACTAGCTATTATACACATATGTGTTATGTATATTCCTGCAGCCATATACCTGACTTGGCCCCAAAAAAATTAGGTTTGTGGATCACCAATCCGGCCAACCCAAACCCAAGTCCCAAAATCCTGACCCACGAATCATGGACCCAGACTCGGCCCGAGAGGGCCGGCGGCGTGAGCGCGTGTGTGTAGCAATTTTTGCATAACCAACTTGGACCATAATTTTGGCCCAACCCATTCTTAAAGCATCCATAACTCTCTTCCTTCAGAAAATTTGGATGCCCCAAAGGGCTCACATCCTTAGGCAAAAAATAAGTTTTAAATACCCATCAATGCTCTCCTACAATCAATGTGGAATAGGAGGTTAAACACCTTTCCCAATACCTTTTTCATGAGGCCAACTAAATGAGTCAATTTCACATTCAAATCTTAATGATTTTTTGTCATTCTTTTTGTAGTGTAAAGATTTTATTACAAAGAATCTAAACCCACTCTAATCCACCACAATTGAGGATTGGCACCCACTTTAATATTGCATTAAAGTAATTAAAAAACTATTATTTTCCAACAATTCTTTCTTTGGTTATATTTGAATCATAAATTTGAGTAAGGATTTGGAAACATCTTTTCTCTTTCTTTTTTTAAATTCATATCCAAATCCATGCTCCACATCTCTGCACAGGAAGGTAATGCTGTGTACATCTGACCTTTCTCAAACCATGCAAACTTTGTGCGCTGGGCCTACCTTTTATTAGTTGGATTAGAAAAATGATGGAAAAGAAAGTGAACAGATTTTTGGGTTAATTACAAAAAAAATTCCAAGATTTCAAGTATTTTTCACTTTAAATGTTTGTATATCAATTTCGACAAATTAAACCCTAAAGTTTTATCCGTGTATCATAAAGAAAACCCAGACTATAGATTTTATTGCAGGATTAGGAACTTTGAAGTAGAAATTTCACTTAAGAATATAAAATTGAATAAGGTTTTAGGACCCGATGATATCTCTATTGAAGCTTAGAAATGTTCAGATAAGAAGGGGTTGCTTGGTTAACTAGATTTTTTAGTAAGATTTTGTTGACTAAGAAAATGCTAGAGGAGTGGAAGAAGAATATTTTAGTGTCAACCTATAAGAATAAAAGAGATATTCAGAATTACAACAACTATAGAGTAATCAAGATGATATGTCATATAATAAAAGTGTAGAAGAGAGTGATGGAACGTCAATTGCGAGATATAACAGAGATGTCAGAGAATTAATTTAGATTTATGCCTGGTAGGTCAACAATAAAAGCGATGTATCTTTTGAGGAGAGTAATAGAAAAGTATAGAGAAAAGAAAAAAAAAATATTCATATGATTTTTTTCGATCTTGAGAAAATATATGATAGTGTCTCTGGATATAATTTGGTGAGTGTCAGAGAAGAAAGAGGTAACAAAAGATTACATTGATGTTATTACGGACATGTATGAATGTGTGGTGACCACTATCAGGTCGCTGCTGGAGAGACAAATGAATTTTCAATTATTGTGGGGTTACACCAATGATCAATTTTAAGTCCTTTTCTTTTTACTTTAGTTATGGATAAGTTGACGAGAAATATTCAAGATAACGTGCCATTGTGTATATTTTTTGTAAATAATAGCGTGTTAGTGTATGAGATTAGAGAATAAGTTGACACTAAATTGGACACTTAGAAGCACTTGAATCTAAAGGATTTAGGATAAGCAGAACTAAGACAGAATGCATAGAGTGTAATTTTAGTAATAGTAACAATGAAAATAGTGGAGAAGTGAAGATTGAAAACCAATGACTACCTAAGAGTGAACGTTTTCATTATTTTGGACCGATTATCACAACAGCTGGGAGATTTGAGCGGACGTGATCCATAGAATTTAAGCAGGGTGGCTTAAGTGGAGAAGTGCGTCTGAAGTACTGTTGATAAACGAGTACCCACTAGATTAAAAGGAAAGTTCTATAGAACTGTTATTAGATCAGCGATATTGTATGGGAACGGAATGTTAGGCAACTAAAAAATAATATATAGATAAGATGGACATTGCTGAGATGATGATACTAAGGTAGATGTGTGGCAAGACTAGAAAAGACAAAGTTAGTACCGATAAAAGATAAGTTGAGAGATAGTAGAATGAGTTGGTTTAGTCATATACAACGAAAACCAACAGAGGCAGTAGTAAAGAAATGTGGTACAGTATTGGAAGATAGCAATGTTGGGGGAAAGGCAGGCCTATATCGACGTAGATTAGTGTAGTAAATAGATATATGAATCTTCTTAATTTGACTAGCCAAATGGCCATTGATAGAGTCGAGTGGAGAATAAGAATTCATGTAACCGACCTCATTTAATGGGACTTAAGACTTGGTTTGGTTGGTTTGGTTCTATCCGTGTTTCAATTTACCCTAACCGTCTATCTTCGTTTGTGTAAGGTAACAGAAGAGGTTTAAAGTAAAAAACACGTGAAATTTTAGGGTTTATTTTGTAATTAATAAAAAAGGGTTAATTATAAAATAAATTCTAAGGTTTCACGTATTTTTTATTTTAAACCCCAGTATTTTTCACTTAAATTCCATCTATTATCTTATACAGATAGAGATGGTCGGAGGAGACAAATTGAAACATGGATGAAACTCTAGAGTTTAATTTGTCAAAATAAAAATACTGAGATTTAAAAGTGAAAAACGTGTGAAACCTTAAAAAAAAAAAAATTAAAAAAATTATAATTTACCCTAGATTTTTTATTTTGTTTTTTTTAGACTTACCCATAAAAACATGTATAAGTAATGTATTTCGTTTTCATTTTCCTTGCTTTTAACAAATTTAAGATCTACACACACGGTGCAAGTTGTCATTGCAAATATTGAAATTTGGAAGCCACCTACATGTTTCTTTGTCGGTATGAATGACAATGGGGGCGGAGCCAGCTTTGTGGTGTTCCGTCCCTGCGTCGTTTCTTTCGCAAGATGAGAAAAAATGAGGAGGTGACAGAAGTGGAGTGGGAGCGAGTTGATGTTCGTGTAATTTGTTTCTCCTAGGAGGGGATAAGAATTAATGAGAGAGGTGAGTAATTAGAGTTAAAAAGATAAAAAAAAGATATGTAATTGTTGTGATGAAAATATAGCTTTTTATGACTATTATCAAAATATTAAATTTTAATATAATATAGCTTTTTATGTAGTTATCAATTTGTAATAAAATTAATATTTTTAGAATTCTCTCATAAAGATCTACCAACTAATATCTATGTTGACTGTGAAATTCTTTATTTAAAAAAAATTTATTACTGTTGAAATTGATGTAAACAGTAACAATAACATGTTATTCTGTTTGACGGTAAGATGTTATTCTGTCTCATAGTAACATGTTACTTTATCTAACAGTAACATGTTATTCTGGTTCACAGTAACATGTTACTCTGGTAATATTGTCCAAGAAAATATATATATATATATATTATTTTATCCTTACTCAATTATGTGTTTTCTCCTTAAGGGTTCATGAAAAAAAATAAATTGAACTGTCTTTTTTACCAAATAATGATCTAATGGAAGAATTTTAACTAAATTTCCCTTTATAATATGTAATTAATATATTGGTAAGAGGTATGGGGAAAGGACGATTGTTATCTCCTTAACACAACTCCAATTCCTGGGGCCATTCTGAAGATGCAAAGACATCAACAACAGCATGAAGAAGAAGTGAAGATTAGGCCTACAATTGTCTTGTAATTAAAATTCCAGATCCCAACATAGGCCACCATTTTAAAATCTCACTATGCCGTGAACTACAAGACACTACTATGACTTGTCTTAGGCCTCGTTTGGGAACAGGCTAATTTAGTAACTTTTTGACTATTTGGCTAAAAAGGTAGGTAAAAAAAACTTATATGTTTGGGATGACTTTTTGGCTAATTACGAAAAGATGCATTAATGATTCATAAAGAAAAATAAATTGAACTGTTTTTTTTACTAAATAATGGTCTAATAGAAGAATTTTAACTAAATTTTCCTTTATAATATGTAATTAATATCTTGGTGAGAGGTATGGGGAAAGGACAATTGTTATCTCCTTAACACAACTCCAATTCCGGGGCCATTCTGAAGATGCAAAGACATCAACAACAGGATGAGGAAGAAGTGAAGATTAGGCCTACAAGTGTCTTGCAATTAAAATTCCAGATCCCAACATAGGCCACCATTTTAAAATCTCACTATGCCGTGAACTACAAGACACTACTATGACTTGTCTTAGTCCTGAAGAAGACCCTAACCATAACCACGCTCTAGTGCCTAGCTCGGTCCGAGCCTGTAGATTAGGA